TAAACCAATAGGTGAAGAATAGAATGATCTTAAATTAAACTATGTTCGTGCAGCAGTAATTTATTCATCACTGCAGTGAAACTGGGATTTTTGTCCCAAAGGTGCTTACAGTTTTAAGTGTTCCCTCTCAGGGTTCCTTCCAGGCAAGGTAAACCTCACTTTGCTGTTTCAGAGCATAGCCTTGGGGTAAGTGTGATTGGTCACTTGGGGATGCTTTGTGTATGGATGAGTTATTTAACAGCAGAAATTGCCTGGGTTTTAAATCCTTTTGAATTTCAGTATTTTCTATTGCCAGAGCTAGTTCTTTGTTACCCATTGTACCATAGTCTCTAATCCTGATACTCCTGATTATCCCTGCTTACTGTGCTTTGGTTCGCACCATGAAGCAGTCTTGGAGCTCGTGACCTGGGTTCCTGTCAGATGGAACTAAACTGGTAGATGTGTTCCAACTGCAAATGAGCATTCAGCCCATGGGACCAGACTAGAGCTACTCCAGAGCATGCTTCAAGAAAAAATGAACCCTGAGATACCCATAACGTTGACATCAGGTCCGCTGCACTGTTTCTCTCTACAGATGTTTCAGTCATTCTAGACACAGCCTCTCATGGCAACTTTTCATTTGAGACTACCTTCTGTTTTAATGACTTAGACACCTGTGTAACTGGGAAGAAAAGCAGTGTGTGTGTGTGGGGAAATTGTTCATGCTGGAGAAGCAGCATATGCCTTCAAAGTGGTTGTGGGTTTTTTTGGTTTTTTTTTTTTTTGTTTTTTTTTTTTTCCTCCATCATGCACTTGATGGAAAATGGAAGCAGTAAGGCTGTAAGTTAAGGAACAACAGTTCTTGTTCCCTGTTTTCCATTTAGTAGAGGAGTGGTCCTGTGAACTATTTGTTTGCATGATAACCAAAGGTGGCACCTGCTCGGGGAACACCAGGGTCCTGGCAAGCTCTTCTGTCCTTCTCAGGGACTTGGGGCTCTCTCTGCATTGTGCATATTTGGCTTTGCCTGAGTTCAGTAGGCAGAGGCTAACTACTGCAGTGGGTTTCAATTGGGATGTTACCATAGCATCCTGGGACTTCCACAATCTATTTAGAAGTCCAAAGGTTTGAAAAGAGTGCTTGAAAGTTTCTGAACTCTGGCAAGTTGCCGAAATGTAATTACACAAAAGACAAAGCCTTGCTGAAAGCAGCTCTGTTCCGAGAAGCAGCACCTGAGTGCTAGAGTTCCCAGCATAGCCGTTTCTGGGAGCTAGGGCTGTTTTATCACAGCCTCCTCCCCAAATTTTTTCCTTCCTCTCCCGTGCACGTGCCATCCCACAAGCATAGTCTGGGTGTGCTGCAAGACGCAGCTTTCTCAGCAGTGGCGTTGGAAGAGGCTCTGTTCTGTGGTTTGACTGCTCTGGGGCATGTAAAGGAAAGAAGTGAACAAGTAAGCATCTTGAAGTCCCTACTGCAAAAGTTTCTTTAGGTCTTCCATCGAGCAAGAACCTCGCTTTATTTTTCTCTCGTCTTTCTCCAGAATATTCTCACAAGTGAATGGGAAAAGCTGTTTTGTTAATGGCGTATCCAGTTGCATAACAATTCTTGTGTGAAATATGAGCAGTTGCAGTGAACTGGTGCTAAGAAATGAACATTCAGTTCAATTTCTAGTCTCAGTTTCAGAAAGACAAAAAAAAAAATCATGTCATTAGTAACTTCTGTTAATGTTCTAATTTGCCTACTCTGTTTACTGGTAACTAGTGGGCTGGGGCAACCATTAGGTCTGTAATAGGAGGTTTGGAGACTTGCAGAGTTGTTGAAAGCTTTCTTCCTGAAGGAATCTCTTGCAGATGGTTGCACTAAATGCCTAAAGTGGGGAAAGAAGCAGTTAACCAGTGAAGTGAAAAAAATAATTTCCTTGCTTCTGGGTTGACAAACCCATTTCTAAATGATTGAAGACAAACTAATACCTTGTTGAGATACCCTAGTTTGTTCCTAAGTCTTTATCCTGCAGATGTGCTGATAAGCTTTGGCCACTTAACTTTGCCAAGGGTATGAGTTGTTCAGTGAGAGGGTGCAGATAAAGGGAAGACTGAACAGTCCTAAGGGAGGAATCTCAGCAGCTGTTAAACTTGCTGAGAATGTTTGAGCTAAGTTTGTTGCTTTGCTGTTGATATCTTGTTTACTTAAGCCATTCCTCTGAGTCTGCAGCTTGTTATATTTTTGCGTTCAAAAGAAACTGGAAAAGACATCTGTCGTGTGTATATAAAAATCATAGATAAGGTGTTGATCACACTCCCTACATGCTGTTGGAATACCTGCAACAGCTTTGGGTTGTCACCATTTCTTTCTCTTCCAGAAGGGTTTACCTGCAAGCTTTTATTTCTTGCCACATTAACAGTAACTTCACCCCTGGGCAATTGTTAAGCAAAAGGTGGCCAAGTTATTTTTGTACTGCCCATCTACCCATGATAAAGGAATTTCAAAATATATAGTTTGTTCAAAATATGTGGCGTTCCTGTATCTTGTAGGGATTTTGACCCTGCCTGAGAATAGATCTGTTGATTTGTCATTGGGCTGCTCACTGGATAGCTCCATCGTGGGCTGGCTCCTTTGAATTCAGCTTTTACAACTTATAAAAAGGAATTTATAAAGTAGGGTCTTTGAAATGCAGCATCTTAACTGGGATAAAATTCTGCCTCCCATGCTTGCAGACTTGAGCTTTTTGGGGAAAATCTTTCCATTGTATAGTTAAACAAAATCTTATTGCAAGAAACAAGGAATGAAAGAAATAGTCTTTTACTCAACTAGCTGGCGGCACTTGGCTGTCAGCACATCCAGGTGTGCTGATGTTCCAACATATCCACCCACTCTTTTAACTGAGTAAGCAACAACAAATGATATCATACCCTTCTGCCTGCTAGGTTTAGAGCCATCCCATGCTGAAAATGCCAGTGACTTGAGTTTTCTCTTACTAGAACTAAAGAGTAATAACAGAAGGGCTGTCTGCTATGAATTAATAGTATGTTAGCTTCATGTCTGGACCTTTCCATTACAGTTGTGCCAGGATCTGCTTCCAGAAGTTGTTTGTGCTGTAGTTGTTCTGAGCAACATAATTTCGTGCATTTAATTGTATCATCATAGTTTCATCTTCTTTCTGCTTCTTAAACATCTCCCTTACATCTGTCATCTTTCTGAAAGCTGCCTTCTTCTTTTACTCCAAGTTTCTTCTTTTCCATTTGTATCCCTCTCTTCTCCGTCAGCCTGTCAAATCATCCACAAAACAATGCAAACTGGAAATGAAAAAGTCTTACAGGCTGTGGTTAGGGATGAGAAGATCTGAAATGCCATTTCCAGCTCTGTCACAGGCATCTTGTGGGACTTTATGCAAGTTACTTTCCCTTACTCTGAACTTGTTCACTCTAAGGCAGTGCGCTACAGAACTTTATAATGAATACTCTTTACTTACAATGATAGTCGTGGGAGCCTTTTCCTGTAATTTTGGCATATTTTCATCAGGTGCATGATTTATTTATGTACTTTAATCTCTTGGGATAATGGCTGTGCTTTCCTCTGGTTTGTACAGACTAATGCATGAATAAGGTTTCATAAATACAAAATAATATATTTGTCCGTGATATTTACAGAAAGAGCACTCATAATTCCAGAATTCAAGAGTCATGAGTCTTAATCATAAGGTGATTGTACATATTTTATTTGGGTAGGAGGGCTAGAAACAGTGTTCTGCACCTAGCTTTCAACACATGACAAAAAAAAAATCCATTTACTCACATGCCTTTGAGAAGCAGGACATTAAAAAACAGAAACTGTGATTCTTTTTGGAAAAATTGAATTGGCTTCTCTCCACACCCCCCTAGCTGTTACATGACTTTTTAATTTTGCTTGACTCTCTGTGGTATAATTCTCTTTCAAATGTGAGACCCTTTTCTATACTACGAAGGATAAAGTGATTTAAACTATATTTAAAGAGATGATTTAAAATTGCAAACTGAGAGGGTTCACACTGACCACTGGATTTTGTCTGTTGTGGAGATGCTACCTATGGAGAGGTTCTGCTGTGATGAAAGTAAACTTGTGTCTTTTCATTAATTCTCTCTGTGCGGGAGAGTTAAGCTGCTGTCCCAAGTGAATGTTTTTAATGATCTCTCTGGAGTGTTTGAAAGCTTTGTCCCACTTGCATGATGCAGAGGGAAATGCACAAAATCTATCTTTGAGGCAGCCCTGTCATTATACCTTTTGGTATATAATGTTTGTATTTGCATTTCTGTTGTTCTTGCATGTTGAGCTTTACCATGCCCAAAGGAGAGCTTCTTGCACTTCAGAGAAACCTTTTTAAGACAAGTGTTTACTATAATAAGTTAGCCTAAAGTGCTTACAACTCAAATATGAGAAATTTGTATTAAAATACAAGAATGTGAATATCAAATTGACTATCCGTTGTAACGACCAGAATACACTGGTGTGAAGTGTCATTTAGTGAAGTGTCAATCTGCTTTTCATGACAACCGAGGTAGATTTTATCCATCCAATACAGTTTCCGTAGCCTAGAAATGAAATCTTGAGGCTTCTGTTAATGAGGATTTTTTTTTTAATTTAATTTTTTATTGTTTTTATGGCTTCATGGAAAACTGTGATGAGAATAGCAGTGAAGTTCAAATGGTACTAAAAGAAAGAGCATCTTGTGGTCGGATAAACAACAGTTACTCTTGACCAGCCATTTTCCAATGGATTGGTTTCAAATAAGTGGCTCTTGGACACCCCTTGCTGGGATTCTTTAGAATGAATTTTACTTTCATAAACCTCTAATTCCTATAATTAAGTTCCAATGTGTGGTTTTTGCAAATAGTCTTCTCTCTAGAGAACAGATGGGTATAAGCTTTGGAGATTTGGTTTCACAAAATGTAACTGCCAGTGGTTTTCTTGCTACTGTTCCAGCTGGCCCCAGAACATTCACATCGGTACAGCTTTCTAACGTTCTATTGTTTTGACTTTATCTCCACAGTTTTAACAGCGTGCGTCAAGGAACACACATCTTGTTCCGTGAGTTCAGCTTTGTTCAAGCTACCCCTCATAACAGAGCATCTTTTCTTCGGACCTTTTGGAGGTGTTTCCGAACAGTGGGGAAAAATGGAGGCAAGTATGCCAGCATCTGCTGCTGTCCTGTTTCCTTGACATTAAAATCATTAGCTAGGCTATTACTGCAGTACAAATACTGACACTTCACACTTTGTTCTAATGGTCTAACACTGTTAGTAGGGAGACACCATCACAGTTGCCTGTGGAATAGTTAAAAAATGCTTGCAGCACAAAGTAGCATAGGAGCACCTTGTTACCAGTGCTACTTCCATTACAGAATAGCATGTCAAGCAACAATAGATCAGAGGGAGGACATTTGTGAGCCTGTGTGTGTGTATGGATAGAAAAAAAGTAACGTGCTGGGGGTTGGTGGATGGGAGCAGGGTAGCACACCTGGAGGTGGTTGGAATGTAGGGTAGGAGCATGAGGGAAGTAGGTGCAGAGATGATTAGGCAGTTGGGGTACCGAGTGCTTTGGCCAGGAGCCCTGCAGGAGGTGGAGTATCTATATAGTGGTGTTGGGCTGAAGGGTGGTGAGTGCTGCCACCTGAGCTGTGCCTGAGCTGGTCCTGGCACATCTAGATGATGTTGCAGGATCCTGATGGCCGTGGAAGGAGGACCACTGACAACTGTGTGACCTCTTTCCCAACCCCTACCCGCAAGGAAAAAGCTTCAATGCCAAAGTAACTATTCAGCACTGTACTATCTTGTCTAGCTATTCTTATACTGTACTCAGTATATTAGGTTTTACAGAACTGGCCAGAGTTCAAAATAAACTCATGTAACTACATGCAACTAAAATTATATTTTGTTTTAGTTTTTAATTTAGTATTTTAAGCAAATACACTGAATGTTGCTGTAAAAATACGAATTTCGGTGGTTTTTTTACTATAAGCCTCACTTCTTTCAGGCCATTCAGCCTCACTTCTTGTTGCAGGGAGGACTAGAACTGTCTCTTAAATACAGATAAAACCTCACCTTCTGGCTAAGCTTTGCAACACTTCTGCTCATGATGAACAGAGTTTGCAAGACTGGGAATAACAACTTGACACATGCCATTTAAATCCTTGGAGATTAGACAATCATAGTGAAACATGGCAAAATCAGTAATTAGCTACTGAAGTGACTGACTAACCTGTCTGTAACACCTTCTTCCCAGTGATAAATACTTTGTTACATTCTAAATCTTTTACACTAATTCAGGAATATTTTTAAGATTTCAGGTAAATTGTATGGTACTAATCTAACCAGTATGCAATGAGGTCATATTTGACATCAGGTCATAGTCAGGAAAGATAAACTGTAGACTTCTAGAACATATTTCTGTAGGAGAGCTAGAGATGATGGTGAAGAAGTCATCCACCAGAACAGGAGCTGGCAGTGGTAAACCTAGTTGGCAAATTGAGAAGCTATCTGATGGAAAGTACCCACTGCTGTCCTTTCAATGAAAGTTTTCAGCAGGCTTCATCTGTCTAGCATTGACTTCAGCCAGATGATGGGCACCTGTGTTTGTTGAAAAAAAAAAAAAAAGTTTTAGCTACATAGTATCTCCCTTCTCTTTTACCTTTAAGGTTGTGGAAGAAAATATAATCACCAAGGTACTTTGAAGGGGAAGGAGTAGCATAGGAACAAAAGCTCAGGTGGATGTTACTGTGCTCTGGTTGTGGTCTTGAGAGTTCACCATATTTTTTTTGACTTTAAAGTTCAGTGGCAGCACTTTTTGGTCTCAGCAAATATGACATGTTTACCTATTTATACATTTTCTTTTTACATATTTATACATTTTCTTTTTATAGTAACTAGAAACAGAAATGCATCATTTCAGAGAACATGCTGTCAGTATTTTCATCCACTCAATCCAATTTATCCAATTCTCTAGCAGTAATTACAGAAGAGAAGCTTGATTGTATTCATTTTGGTTTTATTTGCTATGGGATTTTTTTCTGCTACTCTTGTGCACAGTGGAAGTCAGAACATTCATGGTCTTTTAAGAACTAAACTGATTTATTAAGGAGCTGAACCTGTACAAAATGATGGGTGAAATATGGTCATTACCACACTCGGGTATAGACTAGACCTGGATTTCTTTCCTTGAAATAAATTGCTTTTAGAGGAATGCAGGAAGGAATCATGTTATACAACAAATAGCAGCAACCAGAAGTGAGATCATTGGTGATCTGAACTACAGAACGTGTCTCTTAATAATAGGAAAGAGTCAGACTAAGTGATGCCCAAAGCAAGTAAGACTTTCAACTTGGAGCTTTCTTTAGAAGCGTGGCTGGTGGTATATCTTCTAATTGGATTATACCAGAAATTAGTTTTAAGATGTTTCTTTATGATCACTGCACTAGAACTCAAGACCATATGTACACATCAAATTAAAAACAGTTATACAAGCTTGCATGGAATCCTGACTCTATCTACAAATAGTTTGTTGCTATAGCATCTCATTTTATGATGATAAAATCTCGACAATTTAAACATCATATTATGGACATGAGTGTATTGGATTTGCGTGGCAAGGTTTTGCTAGCAGGGGGGCTGCAGGGCTGGTTTCTGTGAGAAGCTGCCAGAAACTTCCTCTATGTCCAATAGAACCAACGCCACTTGGCTCCAAGGGGGATCCACCTCTGGCCGCGGCCAAGTCTGTCAGGGATGGAGGCAGCACCTCTGGGATAACTTATTTAAAAAGGGGGGTAAAACCTGCTGTGCAACAGCAGACAGAAGAGAGGAGTGAGAATATGTGAAAGAAGCAACTCTGCAGACACCGAGGTCAGGTTCCCCTGCAGCCCATGATGAAGACCACGGTGAGGCAGGCTGTGCCCCGCACCCAGGGAGGTCCACGGGGGAGCAGATCCCCACCTGCAGCCCGTGGGGGACCCCACGCTGGAGGGGGGGGGTGCCCGAAGGAGGCTGTGACCCCGTGGGAAGCCCACGCTGGAGCAGGCTCCTGGCAGGACCTGTGGCCCTGTGGAGAGAGGAGCTCAGGCTGGAGCAGGTTTGCTGGGGGGACTTGTGACCCCGTGGGGGACCCACTCAGGAACAGTCTGTGCCTGAAGGGTGCACCCCGTGGGAGGGATCCACACTGGGGCAGTTCGGGGAGAGCTGCAGCCCGTGGGAAGGACTCACGTGGGAGAAGTTTGTGGAGGACTATCTCCCGTGGGAGGGACCCCACGCTGGAGCAGGGGAAGAGTGTGAGGAGTGCTCCCCCTGAAGCGGTGGCAGAGACAATAGGTGATGAACTGGCCACAACCCTCATTCCCCACCCCTGTGCTGCTCAGAAGGAGGAGGCAGAGAAAATCAGGAGTAAAGTTAGGCCTGGGCAGAGGGGAAGGTTGGGGGAAAAGTGTTTTTAAGATTTGGTTTTATTTCTTATTATCCTACTCTGCTTTGATTGATATTAAATTCAATTAAAATTTCCCCAAGTTGAGTCTGTTTTGCCCATGATGGTAATTGCTGAGTGATCTCTCCCTGTCCTTATCTCGACCCACAAGCCTTTCATTGTATTTTCTCTCCCCTGTCCAGCTGATGAGAGGAGTGATAGACCGGCTTTGGTGGGACCTGGTGTCCAGCCAGGGCCAACCCACCATAAGGAGTTAGGTAAATGATAGAGTCCTGGTAAGAAATCTGTTTATGATTATGCTATACTATGCAACAGAGCAGGGATGTGCAACCTGCTGGTTTTGCAATTAGAAGCAGGATAGCTTGGATTAATGTTGGTGTATTGCTTTTGACGCCTGAACTACTGTCTTTCTGCATTTGGTGCCCAGTGTTAGGTGTATGGAGAGTTATTCATTGAATGTCCATTTTTTTTTTTAATTAGAATTTCTGTGTGCAGAAAAGGATGAAAATATGCCCTTTGCCTTCTACAGCAAGATTCTGCTCTACCCCAGTTTTCTCTCCTGGGTTTGTTTCTGGGCAGTGATTGCTCTCTGCTTCAGTATTGTTCATTTATCTGTGCGAAGAGCTATGCAGGCATCTCTTGTCTTCCTTTGTCAGAAATATAGCACCGACTAACTTCCATGCCTGTTAGGATGTTCTTGTTTTTATTTATTCCTTTGCCATAAAAGTGTTTACTGCAGTTTTTCTCTCTCATTTACTTTCATTCCAGATTTGAATTTCTGCTTTAGGAGTGAGTGGTGGCTTTTTCGTAGTTTTGTCCATCTGTGGAGGGTATCCCTGATAAACTGCATAGATGACTGCATATCCTCTGTGAGGATAAAGGTCAACATAATAAATGAGAACTTACATCAAAACTTGCACCCTGGCTGGAGAGAAGCAAGGGAGAATAAAATTAAAGATGTAAGACAATGCAATTCCAAGTTTATACAAACTCAAAACCCCTCCAAACAAACAAAAAAACCATCTTTCACTTCTGAGTTTTTAATTGGGATTTTCAAAAAGTAGACAATATCTCACAAATGAGTGAACTGATTGCTTAATCTGGCTGCTAGTTGCTCCACCTTGATGCAGGGGAATTTACTGCTTTGTCTGTCAGTCTTGAAATATAACCATGCCTTGACTTGGAACATGCACCTCGTTCACCCACGCAGATACATCCAGCCATGAGTTCTGAAAGGTCAATAAAAGAGAAATCTATCTGAACAAAAGCAGTGCTTTAATGTACCAATCTGGGTATGTGCAGGCCTGTGTACACACTAATTGATGTGCACTAACATTACTGTTTCTCTTGGGAAATTACTGTAGATGTTACTTTTCTACTTAAATCATTATCCTTTTGAATTACTGGAAACTAGATCTTCATGGAGAAATGCAGCAGCTTTTGTTACATTTTTCTGTTAGCCCTGCTACTTGATGGGTTCTAGTGATGTTGCCCTTCATAACTTCTTTTGTTTGGAGACTAGATTTATTTTTAATTTTGTCTGCAAATAGCAAGGAAAAATGACTAGCTTCACTAGATGTGATAGTAACATAGCACACTTCAAAAAGTAAAGGAAAAGGTGCTTGTTTGTTTATTTTTTGGTTTGTGTTTTTAAAAAGAGGATTTCTGTTAGATGTGCTGGATCTGTTTTTTTAATAGGATTTCCCACTGGTTTT